CCCCAGGACAACAGAGTCAGGGACAACTATGGGTGAGCCCGTACATGGCCGAGGCCCGAGCAAGCGATCGCTCGGGATGCCCTAAGTCGTGTCCGAGACCGGCAGGGAAGTCTCCGAATGAGATCCCACCGTAGGGAGGCGCCGAGCCCCCGAGGCCAATCGAACGGCCCCGGGACCCACTAGAGAAGCCCTCTGGTACTTTTGGGGTGCGTCTCTGGACCACGAGCCGACCCCTATCGAATGGGGCACGGGCCTCCACTCGGACTTACCCAATAACAGCTCACCGGAAGTGTCACCGCTCGCGCCCACCGAGGGTAGCCTGGCATATTCCACCCCTCCTTCCGAGCGAAAAGGATGCGCGAGGGTCGCATAAAAAGTCAGGGGAACACATGACCGCCCTCTCGCCCTGTGTGGAGGCTCAGGGGCTCTCCCTATAAACCTTGCCGAGACCTAGCGACCTAGGCTCGCACTCGATGGGCTCGGCAAACAAACCCCTCCTTCCGAACGAAAAGGATGCATGAGGGTCGCATAAAAAGCTAGGGGAACTCCTGATCGCCCTCTCGCTCCGTGCAAGAGGCTCGGGGGCTCTTCCTGCAGCCTTGCCGAGACCCAGTGACCCAGGCTCGCACTCGAGGGGGCTCGGCAAACGAACCCCTCCTTCTGATCGAAAAGGATGCGCGAGGGTCGTATAAAAAGCCAGGGGAACTCCTGATCGCCCTCTCGCTCCGTGCAAGAGGCTCAGGGGCTCTTCTTGTAGCCTTGCCGAGACCCAGTGACCCAGGCTCGCACTCGAGGGGGCTCGGCAAATGAACCCCTCATTCCGAGCGAAAAGGATGCGCGAGGGCCACCAAAAAAGACAGGGAAACCACTGATCGCCCTCTCGCTCCGTGTAGAGGCTTGGGGCTCTTCCTGCAACTAGGCCAAGTCCCAGCGACCCGAACTCGCATTCATGGGCCCAGAAAACACGATAAAACTCCTTGCTCAATGGAGAAAAAAGCCCCTAGAGGTGTAAACCCACTCCTCTAGGGCCTCGGGGGCTACACCCGGCGGGTGCGCTCGCGCGTTCCCACCGGAACCACCAAGTACAAAACACAATCCCGACGGGAGCTGCTGCGAGCCAAGTCTCATCAAAACCTCAGGGAGAGTGCCCGCACTCTCCTCGAGGCTCAGGGGATACTATCGGATACCACAAGAAGGGGTACCCTAAGCAAGAACCGAAAATATTGCTTAAGCCTTGCAAAAATCAAAGCCAAAGGACAACCACGAGGTCTCGGCAGATTCTCCGATTCGCCCGAGGCTTGCGCCGAGGCCTCAGATGAAAGGCCAAAACTCTCTGCCCCGCCGAGGCCCTCTCGCTGAGGCCCCGCCCCGCAAGGCCTCGGACAGGATACCAATTCTCCGATTCGCCCGAGGCTAGGCTTGGCAACAACCTCGTCACCTCCGTCCCGACCGACTCCTCTGACAAAACGTCACGTCCAGTTAATGCGCCCAACTACTCCCGCAACGTCAGCCACACGTTGGCGCAGTACAGGTGGAGTCACCGATGGGACAGGGGACTGGGCACAGCAGGGGTTATCTGCCACTATGCTCATCACTGTGCCCCCTGCTGACACCCGTACTGCCCTGTGCTACCTAACTCCTACGCTAAGGACAAAGCGGCGTGGAGGGTCAAGTCCGGGTCCCTGTAGTCTCAGAATCAGCATGAAAGACCAACTGCTCATCCTCCGCCTCGTCCGAGACCCCCCGGTAGGGCCTCGGACGTACTATTCCTTCTCCGTCTTAGCCGAGGCCGGGCTCGTCCCGCATCCTCGTCGCCTCCGCCTCAACCGTCCCTCTGGCAAGCCGTCCCATCCATTTAAGTGCGCCTGGTCACACCTACTATGTCAGCCACGACTGGCAGGGTACAGCAACAGGGGCGATGGGACAGCGGTCAAATCTCCTTTTTACCATCCCCTACTGACGGTGCAGGGGTTACCGTGCCCTGTGGACACACGCTCCGCACTTTTCCACCTAAACCGGGTACGACGCTGACCACCAAGACCCCCGCATCATACATGGGTCACCTCCGAGGCCTCGGCAAAGCAGGCCTCGGCAAAGCAGGCCTCGGCATGATCAGCTACAGCACCCGCCAGGCCTCGGCACTCCGCCAAGTCAAGAATCCACAAGGCACAGTACATCTCCTACAGTGGAGGCCATACTGACTAGACATCAACAAGGACTCCCACGACCTCAAACAACCTCGGGCCTGGCCAGCACGACGCGCCAGTCAAGTACCGATCGCCATTTCCAACACTATGCTGCTACAGGACTGAACTACAATAGGCTCCACGTGTAGCTCACTCATGTACTCATGGCTCCCTCCTTGCGGCTATAAAAGGAAGCAGCCAGGGATAGCTCTAGGGGAGGCGAGAAAACATACGAAAGAACCACTGTCGGTGTTTTGGAACCAGGGGTCCTTAACCGACTAGTGAATTTGTGCTGCGTGCTCCCAATTCCGGATGGTGATGCAAAGAGACACAAGGTTTATACTGGTTCGGGCAATGGATGCCCTACGTCCAGTCTGAGAAGATGTTCTTGTATTCCTTGCACCGGGGTGCTCGTAGTAGGGGGTTACAAGCTAGGCGAGAGAGGGAGTCCGTCCCAAGTCTCTGTGAGGGGAGGTGATGTGAATTACAGAACGCGGCGTGTTGTTCGTGCGAGTGTTCGTGACTCTATCCACCGTCATCCCTAGAAACGGTCCTGGCTGCCTCCTTTTATAGCCGCAGGGAGGAAACCAGGAGTACATAAGAGAGCTACACATGGAGCAAGGACTATTCGATGACGTATTTATTCCTGGAGCAGCATGGCGTTGTCGTGGAAGTTCCCGTAGATGTCTAATCGGTATGGTCTCCACTGCAAGTAACATGCTACACATTTGTTGACTTGGTGGATTGCAGAGGCTCGGCGGCCATCGTAGCCGGTCGTGCCGAGGCCTATTGTGCTGAGGCCTATTGTGCCGAGGCCTGCCGTGCCGAGGCCTGAGAAGTGACCCAGGTGCAGGTGCGGGTCTGAGCGGCCATCAGGCGGAACAGTGAGAGACGTGCGCCTACAGGATACGGTACCTATGTTGTCAGTAGGGATGGTAAAAAAGGTGATCTGACCGTTGTCCCGTCGCTCCTGTTGCAGCGCACTGCCGATCGTGGCTTACGTAGTGGGTGCGGCTGAGCGCATTAATCGGATGTGACAGCCTGCCAGAGAGACTTTTGAGGCGGAGGCGACGAGGTTGTGGGACGAGCCCGGCCTCGGGCGAGGCGGAGCACGGCCAATTCGTCCGAGGCCCTTCCGAGGGGGTCTCGGGCAAGGCGGACGGGCGAGGCGTAGTAAGATCAGTGAATCCGAGGCCCTGTCGAGGGGGCTCGGGCAAGACGGAGTGGTCGGTCCGCTGATTCCGAGGCTATAGGAACCCATTCTGACTCCCCACGTTGCGATGTCCTTGGTGCAGGAGTTAGGCAGCACAGTGGTCGGTAACCCCTGCTCTGTGCCGTCTCAGATGGCAGGAGGTTGACGCGACCGGCGTGTAGTCGGCCACTTCGCTGTACTGTGCCATCGTGCGTCTGTCGGAGTGGTTGGGTGCTCGGATGTGACGTTCGGTCAGAGCAGTTTGGTCGACGAGGCGGTCACGGGGCTGGTGCCTAGCCGGCCTCACGCGAATCGGATAATCGGCACTTCTTTCGAGGCCCCGGGCGAGGGGGCCTCGGCGAGGCGGTCTCGGGCGAGTCGGAGAATCGTTTGCTTCCGCTGGGGCTCGGCGACGGGGTCTCGGGCGAATCGGAGATTTCGGCCGAGACCTCGTTTGTTTATTCCGTTGGTTCTGTTCTTAGGGTCTAAGCAGTTTTTCGATCTTTGCTTGGGGTACCCCATTTTCTGGTATCCGACAACCACGCTCTCACACACGCGCAAGCGACACTATGTAACATACGCTCCCCCCGCTGCTTGAGAACAACGCCTCAAGCAGCCCGCACCGCTCCACGCCGAGACCTGAGACCAGCTCCCTCTCTTGCCCAGCTTGTAACCCCCTACTACAAGCACCTCGGTGCAAGGAATACAAGATCGATCTCTCAGACTGGACGTAGGGCACCGATTGCCTGAACCAGTATAAATCTTGTGTCTCTTTGCATCACCATCCGGGATTAGGGGCACGCAATTCAAATTCACTGGTTGGTTGAGGACCCCCCGGTCCGAAACACCGACACACTTGAAAAACATATGCTTGCAACATGCGTTTTTAACGCAGCGTAACATCTCCTTGCTGCTTAGGAGAACGAGACTCGTCGGCCATGGAGTTCACCGGAGGCGGCGGCCCGCCGCCGGCGGTCAGCACAACTGGGAAAGGGAGCCAAATCCACCGAGGAGCCACTCGTGTCGGGCCTATCGTGCTGGTCCGCCCGTGATCGGGACCATCAGCGTCGTTGCATCGCCGTGTCGAGGACCGCTCGGGCCTCCGTGTCGTGGCTCGCTCGTGCTGAGGCCATGCTGAGCCCACTGCGTCGCCGCACCGGGACACTCGCCCAAACTGCGCCGAGTGAGGGAGGGAGGGATTAGAGCTGGAGGCACGCGCGAGAGAGAGAAAGCGGAGGCAGGGAGGCATAAGAGAGAGGAGCGGTGGCTAATATTTTCCAAGGACGAACGAACCAGGGAACGACAACGCATGTGGACCGTACAGGTACAGGCGCGGGCGGGTCGGGGTCCGTCCGGACGGACGGACATCCTCATCCTATCATTATCATTATCGTTCTGTAAAGTTAGTCATCAAACTTATAACAACGATAGAAATTGATTTATTTATGGATGAAGGTAAGAGACTAGGGATGTGAAGGAAAGGGGGAATGCCTACATAATTAAAAGTGGTTACGGACTCTTCCCACGCTGACCAAGAGAATAGAAAACATCGTACATGTCTATAAATACCAGCTCATTAACTTCAATAATGAGCAACGAGACATATATTGGCAAAAAAAAACATGGCACTATGGTCTTCTATGAGTGCCCATTTGGCGCTACTACTTTGCTTTTGCGTGCTTTTATCGAGAGTAAATGGACGATCTCGCAAGGTAAGCACGCATGCTGTAATAGTTCAGTCATTACTAGCTATATATGGTATGGTATAGCTTAAATAAGGCTTGTTAAATCTAAAATTCTACTCATCTATGTTTTGTGGCTTTATATTGTATATCTAGGCGATGTGAAACATGGGCACCCGAACGATGTAATCGCTTAGCACCATGATATGCTCACGACTGTTCTTGGAAGGTACTTTCTAGTTCCTATTTGACCCCTATGGATCATGCATGAATTTCCTTTTACTTGCTGATTTTTATCAACCCTGATCGATGAACTATATCTAGTTCTCCATTATTTACTATCATAGATTTACATAGTTATTAGGTGATGTTTACTCGCTAAGAGATCGAGTATGTTGTATATCCATGAAACCCCTGAACTTTCAGCAAGGAAGATACTCTGGACTCCATCATCCATAACTACAAGCATGGCTTCTCAGGCTTCGCAGCAATGCTTACTGAAGACCAAGCTAAGCAGCTTGCAGGTCAGGTGTTCCCGTCTGTAGGCTCAACAAGACTTTGCAGCAGCTATAGCTTGTAGAGACTGAATATCAGCAAACTAACCGCGCCTTTCTGCCTTCGCTAACCCAACAGAGTTTCCAGAAGTCATCAGTGTCGAACCAAGCTGAAGTTACACGACGATGACCACTCGAAGCTGGGACTTTCTTGGTCTGAACCACCAAATATCCAGTGAGCTTCTCCAAAGAAGCAACTATGGAGAGGACGTAATCATCGGGGTTATTGACACCGGTTAGTAACCTATATTAGTGTACAAAACTACTATTTCCATCTAGAAGTACTTCCGTTTTATAGTTTTATCCAAAGTCAAACTATCTTAAGTTTTAACCTAATTTATTAAAAAAATTTACCAATGTTTATATTAGCAAATACTCCCTCCTTTCTGGAGTGATAAACGTCACGAAAAAGTCAAACAAAATCAGTTTTGACTGTTACTTTCTCTTACTATATATTATATTATCTGCTAAAGAATCAATACAATCTAAGAGACACTTTTAAATACAGATCCGTTGGTACAAGTTTCATATTCTAAACTTGTATATAATGTGAATAATTTGTTGATCAAAGTTTGTATAAGTTGACTTTTCTCTGTTTGAAATATGACTAACAGCTCGTAAGTATTATTAGATTCATCGTGTAACATGTTTTCCCATTTAGTAGTTATTTGTCATAAATGATTATAATTTTCTCTATAAATTTGATCAAAAGATAGACATAGGAGTACTGCAAACAAATTTCTCTCAGGCACATCGGGACGTGTTGGTGCCCGGACGTCCGACGGGATAGGATTCCGTCGGACGACCGTTTCCCGCGCGCCCTGCACAGCCTCCCCCCTCCGTCTGCTAATTCACCCTACCCGTAGCATGCGCATCGCGCCGTTGTTGCGTCCATACGACTCGCTCGCAATCCACCCCGTCCACCTCGATTCGATTGACCCCCATCCGCGTACCTCGTTCCCATCTGTTCGCCCCGTCATGCCCCTGACCGCCGGCCCCTAGCGCACCGCGCGCCACGTCCGCCGGTCACCAACGCGCTCGTGCCGTGCCACTATCACTCCAACGCGCCCCCTAACTCTCTGAACAGCATGAAACACGTGCAACATGAAACACTTGAATGCAACATACGTCTGAAACAAATAAAACACACATTTGCAACATATATATAAAAACATATGCAACATCCAGATATAACACTTGCAACTTACAACATGAAAACACTTGCTGTAACGGAAGACTGGAACAGATGAAATATTTAGAACATACTGTTGTAACATATGTGTGAAACATATGCATCATACATATCAAAATGCTTGTAACATACGTCTGAAACAGATAAAACATTTTGAATAAACTCTTGCAGCACATCTCTGAAACACTTGCAATATATGCAACATGTACAACATCTCCGATCTACTTTTACAACATCCATATGAAACAACTGCAACATACTTCTGAAACGTCTGAAATACTTAAAACATATGTTCGCGACATAGAGAGGGTGAGCGCCTGTGCCGATCAATTCCGGCGTGGGAGCTGGCGGCGAGTTGCGGCGCGTGAGCACCACTAGCATCCAGCACGCAAGCACCACCGCCACTGGCACTGGGCTTGGGTTGGCCAGGCAGGCGGCGCACGCAATGGCCGGAGCGAGCACCACCAGCACCAGCGCGCGACAGAAGGAGTGGGCGGCGCGCGCGACCGGAGGGAGCGGGCAGCGCACGCGATGGGAGGGGGCGTGAGACGCGCGCGACGTGGCGCGAGCGAGCAGCGGCGGATGGGGCGCGCCGCAGCAGCGAGGGGAGTGCACGTCCGCGTCCAGGACAGGACAACCGCAAGGCGCTACGACAGGGAAGGAGGAAGCGAAAGAGATAATGATTGGTGATTTTTTTATATAAACTCGCCGGCAGAGCGAGCGGTAAGGTAAAAGCGCGGCGGTAGGCCTGCGGGAGCGGCAGAGCGAGCGGCGTGGTAAAAACGCAAGCAACGAGGCAGTAGGCCTACTGGAGCGTCCGACGATTTGCTCGTGCAGTAAGACGTAAGCCGTGTAGCATTTCCGCAGGCACATCACATGCATGTCTTTCCGGCGCCAATGGTTGTTGATACCGGAGTAACACAATGATCCTGGTTATCCTGGTATACGGTGCACTTGCTGCAGGTATCTGGCCGGAGCGGAGGAGCTTCAGCGACGAAGGGTACGGGCCGGTACCGTCACGGTGGAAAGGTGTGTGCCAAGTCGGAGAGGGCTGGGGCAGCAACAACTGAAGGCGCAAGATCATCGGCGCGCGCTTCTACAGCGCGGGCGTGGCCGAGGATAAACTCAAGATCGACTACCTGTCGCCTCGGGACGCCAACGGCCACGGCACGCACACGGCGTCCACCGCGGCGGGATCCGTCGTGGAGGCGGCTAGCTTCCACGGCCTTGGCGCGGGCGCGGCGCGCGGCCGCCAGGGCCCGCATCGCGGTGTACAAGGCCGTATGGGGCAGCGCCCGCGGGGCTGGAGCGGCCAATACAGCCAGCTTGCTCGCGGCCATCGACGACGCCATCCATGACGGGGTAGATGTCCTATCACTCTCTCTCACCAGCGAGGAGAACTCGTTCGGTGCCCTGCACGCTGTTCAGAAGGGGATCGCCGTCGTGTACGCCGCCGAGAACTTTGGGCCGGCGTCGCAGGTGGTCCGGAACACTGCCCCCTGGGTCATCACCGTGGCGGCGAGCCAGATTGATCGTTCGTTCCCGACCATGATAACGCTGGGAAACAAGCAACAGATCGTGGTACGGAACACAACCGATAACTCACGATTCATGACTTAATACCGTTGCTGATCTTGAGCAAGCTCTGCTAATTTATTTTACAGGGTCAATCCCTGTACTACTATGGGAAGAACTCAACGGGAAGCAGTTTCAAACCTCTTGCATTTGGAGGCTTGTACGATAAGTCCCTTGCTGTTCTTCGCTGCTTAATTAATTTGTGCGAGATTTCCGAAGTTGATCAGCCAGGCTCTGTTTCTCTCTTGTAGATGCACCGCCGATTCTTTGAACGGCACGGACGTGAGAGGCCAAGTTGTGCTCTGTGCATCCGCCATTGCATCACTGCTTGCACCTTTCCCAGTGGCACTAGAAAACGTCCTGAACGCCGGAGGCTCTGGTCTCATCTTTGCTCAGTACACCATGCATATCATCGATGCGACAGCTGATTGTGGAGGCATTGCATGTGTTCTTGTGGACTCGACCACTGCCCTTCAAATCGGCAAATACATGGTGGATGCAAGGTGAATTGCATTCTTCTCGACCTTCCTGATCAGTTAACATTTGGAAATGCCAAGACCCTGTTACTGGTAGAATTCTTACCCTTTAGTTTAAGCAGCTCTCCTGTGGCTATGATCGAGCTGGCGCGCACCATTACTGGTAAGGAGGCACTGGCCCCAACCATCTCAGTCTTTTCCTCAAGAGGTCCATCCATCGAGTACCCTGAAGTAATCAAGGTTCATAGACAAGAAAGCATAGCATTCACTAGCTACTGAACCATATTACCTGTCGCCTCACTGCAGTCTTGCTTCCTTAACAGCCTGACATTGCAGCACCAGGAGCCAGCATCTTAGCAGCCATGAAAGATGCATACGTATTTGGCTCAGGGCCATCTATGGCAACACCACACGTGTCAGTCATCGTAGCGCTGCTGAAGGCATTGCACCCAAATTGGTCCCCGGCTGCACTAAAATCAGCCATCATGACAGCAGGTAACAACCAGAATTCAGAACACTAGTTCTAATCCATGTGAAGCTTGTCTGATCTAACACATTTTTGCATGGCTGAAGCATCTGTAACTGATGAACTTGACATGCCAATACTGGCACAAGGATTGCCTAGAAAGATTGCTGACCCATTTGACTACGGAGCGGGGTACATAAACCCGAATAGGGCAGCTGATCCTGGACTCATTTACGACATTGACCCTAATGATTACAACAAGTTCTTCGGGTGCAGCTTCAAGAAATCTGTACGATGCAACGCAACAATGTTACCTGGGTATCACCTGAACCTACCATCCATCTCCATTCCAGATTTGAGGCAGCCGATTACAGTGTCAAGAACAGTCACAAATGTAGGTGAGGCCGATGCAGTTTACCACGCTGCAATTGAAAGCCCAGCTGGAGTCAAGATGGACATTGAGCCATCTGTTCTTGCATTCAATGCCACAAACAAAGTTATCACATTTCAAGTGAAGTTATCACCTCTCTGGAGGTTACAAGGGGATTACACGTTTGGCAGCCTTACTTGGTACAGTGGCCAAAAGACAGTGCGGATTCCAATAGCAATCCGAACGACGATTTATGATTTCTATACAGATGTTGCATAAACACAGAGAAACATGAAGGAAATATCACAGGGTTATTTTCCTTTCTGAAGGAAATAAATTGTGTGCTTGGCAATACAGGGAAATAAGAGATGCAACTTCCACTATCACAGGGCTATTTTCCTTTCTGAAGGAAATATAATTGTGTTCTTGACAATATATAGTACAGGGAAATAAGAGATGCCACTTCCACTGTGGTTTGTAGTTGTTTTTCTTTATCAAATGTAGCCAAACAGCTTCACTATTGTAAGGGCTAAATCTAGTTTGTGTTTAATACACAACTCTAATTACTACGTGAAAGTATAGATGTTCTGTTACAAACACACTTTTCAATGAGGATATAGTTTGTAATTTGTGTACTATTGCAATAGCTTAGCCTAATAATGATTTGGTCCCACCAAAACAAACGTTTTGGATTTTCCCCCTTTTCTCACAATTAGAGAATTGCAACGTGGAGGGAGTACTCAAAATCAGTAGCAACAACCTTAATCTCTAAAACCGTCAACCACCTAGCTACTAGCCTACTACTAGCAACCTTCGGCAATCGGCAAAGCAGTAATCATGGACAAGACTTGTTTTCTTGGATAAATGATACTGGTAGTCGATTACAGATGTAATTGGTTAGAAAAAACAAGTCATTTCAAACAAGTGCATAACCCTTTGGATGTACTTAAGATAATCGAATGGGCTAGTAGCCTGAAGTCCGGCCGCAGGACGTGTCCAGACGCAGCTCCGGCGCGACGCCCCGCATCGCATCCCGCGCCCACCCACAACAACGCATCACGTGCCCCGCGCCCGCTTGCATCGTGCGCCAGCCTCCGTAACTGCGCCCGCACGGCCATCCCGTGCCCACATGGGTCCCAAGTCAGTTGCCCCGCCTGCGGAGGCGTCTGCCGGCCTCAGGCGTCCGCACGTGAACCATGGCGGTGCCCCAGCAGCACCAGACCGCTGTCTGCTAGACACCAATGCTCATTGCAACATGTGCAACACCTGATCTACTTTTAAAACATAGAGATGAAACATTTACAATATACGTCTGAAACAGATAAAACACTTAAAACATGATTTTGAAACATATGTGTATAACCATAGCAACATATGCAGCATCCATATGAAACAATTGCAACATAAGTCCGAAAAATCTAAAATACTTAAAAACATACACTTGAAACATGCATGTGTAGACATAGCAATATATGCAACATTCAGATGAAACACACGTATGAAGCACTTGAAACGCTTGAAAATATACGCTTGCAACATGCATATATTGTCATTGCAACATATGCAACATCTCAGATATACTTTTGCAACATCCAGATAAAACATTTGAAACAGAAGTCTGAAATATTTGAAACACGGTGTCGCCGACAGCCACGACCTATCTAGTGGGGAATTGTGGTAGTTAGCAAGCTCGTGTCAGGGGGCCATCACTCCACGCACTCAGGCCCGTTGGCGTGGCCCGTCGCTCCTGCGATTCTCCCGCGCCTGCTCACGACCCAAGCTCGTGCCCATCGGTGCGGCCCCGCTGTTGCAACTCCAGCACTGCTGCTCGCTCGGCCGTGGTCGTCTAGTGTCGTCTACTCGCGGGAGATGGGGCGCGGCTTGGCCCGTGATGGGGGTGTAGCACAGTGGGGGAAAGGCACGGCGCGGCGGGAGATGTTTGCGCGGGGAGGGAAAGGGGAGGAGGCGGACGGATGAGCGGCCATGCTGTGGCAACCGATGAGCTGGTGAGTGGAGTGGGGTTTTTTTATGGAGAGAGGGGACCGGTCCTGAACAAGTCTGAGAGCCGCGTCCGGACGGACGAGAGTCACGGGTGGCATATCATTATAGTAAGACTAGGTAGCGTGCCCATGCGTTGCTACGGGATAACTAACAATTTATACTAAAAACACACGGATCGCACGATAAGATAACAATACTGTTAATTTAAATACCAACGTTAAAGTGACATTTAATCCAAAGGACAAAGTTTATGAATTTAACACAGTCACGGAGTGCGTGGCGTCGCAAGCTCACAAACTCTAGAGCTTCTAGAGATTGGGTCGAATCCAACCTAGAGCCTCGGAACCCTACATCTTTTCCTAGACGGGCTTCACTTCGGATGCGCCAGTAGCAATATCAATGATCTCCAGTCGATGGACCAAGTCGTATGGATCCCCATACAATGGCTCAGACATGTAGATTTTGTTCTCCTTGTACTTGGATACACTTGTTCCACTGAAGCTTTCATTGAAATGTTTAGACACGAACAGTGTCTGATCACCGATGTCCCTTACCCTGGACCACTCCGGCGTACGGTCGTGGAGGTTGCACTTGTAGATCGCGCTGCTGTAGGTGAAGCTCTGTGTCTCGTGGAACGTGCTCACCATGGCACCCACAATGTGTAGCTCACCGTTTGATTCCAGGTAGCTACGGTGGCAGAGCCCCGTAGGTGGCGACAGCGATGGCAGCAGCGTCGCAGTTGGAGTAGCGCCGGCGGCGTTGCTGCTGCAGACGGAGATTTCTCCAGTGCAGTCGATCACCAAGAACTTGTCTTGACAGTGGACGATGGACCCCACGGAAAACTCCAGTTTGGTGTCGAGCAGCGTCCATGCACTGTCGACTCCAACCCGGCAGAACGCGACCTCCGTGGAGCACCCAAGCATGGCCATGGCCACGCACTCGCGGCCGGCGGCGTCAAGCGGCGCCGAGAGCACGATCTCACAGAAGAACACGTCCCTCATGTCTTCTAGCTTGATGGCTCTGCCTGCGGCATCCGCGTCCCCGTAGCCGTTGGTGGGATGGAGGACCCACCAACCGTGGACCCTAGACACGCATTCCGATGAGGACGCCGCCGCGACGTGTTCGCCTGCTGGCGGGAGCTCAACGCGGGAGGCACAGGCACCGGCGAATGGATTCAGTAGCGTCACGGACGCCGCCTCGTCCATGAGCGCCAGCCACCCACACGAGGAGCCGCACGCCACCTTGCCGCGCACGTCGGGCAGCGTCTTGGATAAGACCTTCTTCTCCAGGACGCAGTAGAAGCCGACGCGGTTCGAGTTGGGGTCGAACGGGAGCAGCACGAGCGACCCGAAGGTCGTGAATGGGACGGCGGCGCGCCATGGGGAGCAAGCGGATCGGAAGGACGCAGCGTCGTGGCCTGACACGAGACGCTGCCCGATGGACTCGAGGAGATCCTCTAGCAGGCCGGATCTTCAGTCAGTGAGAGGTAGGGACCTTTTCTTGGGATTGGGAGGCTGAGCCATGGAAGACAGATGACATCAACTATGGTTCACGCAAGAAACAGCAAGCGAGGGCGATAGAACACGTGAGCGTGAAACCAAATGAAAGGGGAAAAAGTTGTCCCTTTTGCAAATATAAAGATGGAAAGTAATTAAATATAGGCAGATTTAGCAAAGTTCTCAGAAATGCAAAGAGGTTCCTTTTGTGTTAATTCTCTTTCCTTTTGTGTTAATTCTTTTTCCTTTTGCTCGTTGTCATGTATGCTGGTGCATGCAAACATGCAATGTGTATATGGATAGCACAATAACTTTCTACTTTCTATTTTGTTGTGATTCCTCTATCGCATGACAGGCAATATTCAATCAAAGAGAATGGCACGATCAATCAGTAATTAAGATGTCGTGGGATTACAGGCGTGGGCAGACAGACGAACTAAAATAAATATCGCACAAAAAAATATCTATACTTTGTTCTTTTTAATTGTAGGAAAAAATTGATGCATAGAAGATGCAGGCATCATGGATGCAAAGAAATAGTGATACTACCATAATGGAAGGGTCCGCTCCGCCAACCGCGCGCAGCACGAAAACCGTTGCTGCAAGGTACTGTGCTGCAGGTCTTGATAAAGCTGCCCTCAAGAAAAACACAATTAACAAGACTGCTCTGGACGACATAAATGGCCGTGGATCGGATATGCCGTGCACTGCAGGCTAGAGAAAATTCCTGAGGAATATTTCAACCATCCAGGAGAACAAACCCAGCACCAATGGATTGGAGCCAACAATCCAGACGTGAACAAACAAGCACAGCCATTGTCGCCCTGTTCGTTTAGCTTATAAGCCGTACTTTTTTAGCTAACGAATAATATTTTTTTCTCTCAACAAATCAGCCAACAGTACTTTCAGTCATGGTTTATCAGCCAAACGAATAGGACATGTGCAGAGGAGCCCCAAGTTCTGCTTGGCCTTGCCTTGAGAGAGACAACACGGATCGGATGACACAAACCAATCACTAGATGGAAGATGGAACCCATCATCCATGATCCATGGCTTTAGGAAGCTCGGAAACATGAAGCTAACCAGGCGAGATAGGGGAGGTGACGCACCTCATACTTTCTGAGTCTGCGCCTCTGTGGACATAATCGATGGTGGGGTTTCGTTTGGCTTTGACCTGATCTTGGAGAGAACTGAAATGCTTGTAGAGCTTCTATAGCTACCGGATTCATATTTTCCTATCGTAATGAACGTTACTTTCAGGCTAGCAATGTGCACCCGTGGGCGGAGCAAAACCAAGCTTGGACCGCGTTGTAAAGTCGCCAAGTCGGCAAGCCCGCGCGGTTTCAGTGTCAGGCTGTCAGCTAACAATCGACCTACTTGGCCACGTGCACGTAGACCGAGTCGGCAGAGGCAAACGTACCAGGGAGCTTCGCTATCAAGAATGCTCGAGTATTTATTTATTTATATATTGCAGTCCAATTCATTTGATAGCACGTCTCTCGTCCCATTTGCTTGGCTTATAAGTCATATTTTTTCAGCCAACGAACAATATTTTTTTCTCTTACAACAAATCAATTAACCGTATTTTCAGCCATAGCTTATCAGCCAGCGAACATGGCACGTGACATTTGGCCTCTATATCAGTGGTGGATTCTTGAAAACGAAATCATTGTCTTCAGTAGTAATAGAAAGGATAACAAAACAATGATCTGCATCCCCTTTGAAGACGGTCAATGCATCAGTTGCTTTCTCTTCTCTAAAAAAAGATGCCACAGGTGCACCGTGTTCCTGCCCAATTTTAGAATCAAAATTTGTGCGATCTGTTCGCTCGGTTGTATTTGACTTATAAGCCATGACTTATTAGTAAACGAAAAATATTTTTCTCTCACACCAAACCAGCCAATAATACTTTCAGTCATGACTTATAAGCTAAACCAATCCAAACGATCAGGACGGTAATGTATATGTACAGTATGTATTTCCTTTTCAGACATTGACATCCAACTACCGTGTTGTCTTGTGCTCATAACCCGTGTGTGGTCTGCTACTTGGTCAATGGTAAGCAAATCAGTACCGGCTGGTCATCTCCGGATCATGAATAAATAGACCCAGGAGTGTTTCATTGCCCTGTTCACTGTGTTCACTGGGCTGATAAGCAATGGCTAAAAGTAATATTGGCTAATTTATTGTGAGAGAAAAATAATGTTTGTTGGCTGAAAAAGTACGGCTTATAAGCCAAACGATCAGGGCGCATAGACATTCACAAATCACAACAAAGCCGTCTCCTGTGGCCAGCACCAGCTCAGAGACTAGCTAGGCGAAGATGAGGCGGTTCATGTCTCTGTTCGCGCGCTCCTCGTCCTGCTGCTCTGCGTGGCGAGCCTAGTCGGCGTCACGGAAGGGAGGCGCGGAGGGGGCGGCAGAGGGTTCCGCAACACCTACGTCGGCAGCGGTGCCAGAGGCAGGGGAAACTCCACCCGCAGCGGCTGCCCTCGCGGCCTCAGCGGCGGCACCTGGACGGCGTGTGCCGGCTCCTCCCTGCTGGCCATCGCGGCCATGCTCTTGTAGCCTTCGGCGCGCTGTATCCACGTAGGTTCGGCTGCTCGTAAAGGCGCCTATGCTGATCTGTACAGCTGATTTGTTGGAAGAGAAAAATATTGTATCATGGCTTATAAGCCGGTTTATAAGTCGGCTTATAATGACAGCCGAACACTCCCTATTATATGTTTGGCGGCTGATAAGCCATTAGCGTGTTATCCAATATAATTGACTGGAATATAAATTCGACATTACCAGTGTCCGGACGCCCGCGGCCGCAATCGGTTTCCTCTTCGTTTCACAAGTCCACGCATTGGCCCATGTCACTCGGACTTCGCTCGACCGCGCCTACGTCACCCGCGCCCACGCAGGGCCCACGTCGCCTGAACGTCATTCGCGTGGGGACTGCTCATGCCCCCTTCCGCTTCCCACGTGCATCTCATATGCAACACCCGAACTATTTTTGAAACATCTAGAATTCCAGATGCAACACTTGCAACATAAAAAAAGGAAAATGAGAAACGCTTAAAAGATGAATCTGAAACACTTGCAAAAACAATTGAAAACCATTGCAAACATACGCAAACATCTAGATAAAACACTTGCAACATATATGTGAAACATATACAAACATCTAGATAAACACACTTTCAACATATGTTTGAAAAATAGATGAAACATTGAGAACATACGCTTGCATAGTATGTCATTTCAACATATACAATATCCCAATCTATTTTTGCAACATCCGTGTGAAACAATCGAAACATAGCCCTAAAGCGTCGGAAACATTTCAAATGTATACTTGTAACATGCATCATATCCTAGTGCGGCCTTTTTCCGTTGTCTGCATCAGGGCGCCGCAGCCATAGCAGGAGGCGAGGCCGAAGGGCTTCCGCGCCTAGGCCCAGTGCTTCTCCTTGCGTCGTCGGTGTCGTCGGGCGGGGTGGGCAGCGGAGCAGGAGCAATGACACGAGCAGCAGGGTGGGCGGGCGGAGCAGTGGTACGAGCAGCGGGGCAGGCGAACCGAGCATTGGCAGGAACAACAGCAGGAGGAACGGGACGGGCACACAGAGCAGCGGCAGGAGAAGCGGGACGGGCGTGCAGAGCATGGGCAGGAGGAGCGGGTCGGGTGACGAAGTTGGAGATTGAAGAATTAACTGAATATTAATAAACAATAGGTTATGTCATGCGCCTATACCGCGTCTGTCCGATACCTGAGTACAGGTCAGAAATTACCGATATAATAAAAATCCCAGCACTCTTCCTAGCGAAGCTCCCAGACACGTCCTGTCTGTGTCTGCCGACTCGGTCTACGGGGGCGCGCTTGGATCGCGACCTAACCAGGTCGATTCAGCCTACCTACGTGCTAAATAAAAATCGACGACCTCGGTGATCAGGCAGTATTAATTTGGTTGCTGCCCTGGCCTGGAGGCTGCAGGCAGGTTGATCCAAAATTCAACACAAGTAGAGTAGAAGATAACTACAATGATTATTAATTAATCAGGTGCGAACGTGTTCCTGCAGACTTTTCAAATCCGAACCAGCAACAAAGAAAAATCATCCGACTAGCGTGCTGTGCGGTGATTTCGGCTACGTTCGCTTGAACTTATAAGTTAAGAATTAACTTTATTTTTTTAGCTATAAAACAATATTTTTTTTTATTATAAATTAATCCTATAAATCAGTCGCAGTAGCAACGTAGCCTAGTGGTGTCTGTTTCGTACACACGGAGTACTCTACCTGTCAGCACGGCAGGACTCCGGATCGCGCATAAATACTCCGTACACCCAGATGGACGCGCAGGCGCAACTGCCCACGACAATTCAGGGAAGAAGAGAAACCATTATTCATTTCTTCACCAAGGCAGGCCGCCATCCGTGAGGGTAGCACTAGCTTGGGGATTTTCAGAAGAAGATGAGAAGGGTCCTGCCACTGTTCGCGCTCATCGTCGTGCTCCTCTGCGTCGCGAGTCTTGTGGACGTCACGGAGGCGAGGCGCGGAGGAGGCAGGGGTGGACGCAGCATCGGCGGCGCCGGCGCCGGCGCCGGAGCCAGGGGAAGCCACAGCGGTGGCCCGCGAGGCCTCAGCGGCGGCACCTGGACGGCGTGCGTCGGGTCCTCGCTGCTGGCTGCGGCGGCCATGCTCTTGTAGTTGTAGGCTCGTCTCAAGCTGCATAGATGAACGTCTATTGGATTGGGAGTACATTCGTTTATTCTTTTGCCGCTTATGAATTGGGTGTGGTGTGTGTGACATGGTCCTTAGGAGCTGTGATGTGATTGTAAGCCTTGTATCATCAATTGAGTTCTGTACGAATAATACTATGGAGTTTCAGATTTTGTGTAGACGTACACGCAATTCGTGAATTTTAAGCGACATTGTTAATCGAAGATTATTTTGTCAGAATCTTGGTTACTTTGAAAACACGCACCATAATCTCACTTGCCTTCAGGGCTTCAACATTAGATGAAATGAAACAGCTTCAAGCCTTCAAGTCTACAACGGCAATCCGGCATGCTCTGCCCACAAGGCCACAAGCAAATTGAACTCCCTGCTTCCAATGCTGCGTTCCAGCCAATGGGCCCTGGTCTGTTCGTTCAAAAAAAAAAAAAAAATGGGCCCTGGTCCTGTGATGAGTGCTCATCGATTCGCAGGGTAGCAGTCTAGCACATTTTGCTCCGGTATGCAGTATCTGCGCATCGCCTACGGAAGTTTGGATCAGCAGTCGCAGGAGCGGGGCCAGTGATACACGAGGGAGTGCTTTGTATCTGTTCAGCAGGAAATAGGAAACATGATCAGCAGTCGCAGGAGGACATTTTGTTAGTTTTGCTGCCTTGCTGTTTTCTATTCGTATGATAGCAAACATGGTCACCCATTGTAATAGGATGTACAATTTTATTGTGTGGTGCCCATGCTAATAATAATAAGCTAACTATTTTTTATTGCATTTAATTGGGCTAAGTCTAACCTTATCAAATAAATTATAAGATCCGTAATAAATGCTTGTGTAATATAGGATTAATCTATAATGAAAAATTGATAGGAGATCAACTTAGGTTAAATTGGTGACTATTGTGTGCACCTTTTGTGAGTTTAAGAAAAAGTGAAAGGCAGCCTACACACTTGCATGTGTGTCACGGCGCATGGGGGTTCAAATGAACAGGCCACGACATGAGTGATGCGGTGCCGGTGAAAGTTATGCTGCTCCAAACTCATCAATAGGTCTAAGTTTGCTACTGCAAAAGAAAGAAGGGTGAGAGCGAGGGATGATGGACCGAGAGACGGAAGAAGAGAAGGGTGTCGATCCAAACTCATCAATAGGTCTATGTTTGCTATTGTAAAAGAAAAAAGGGTGAGTGAGGGATCACGGACCAAGGAACAGAGAGGTGATAGACGGAAGAAGAGAAGGGTGTCGCTTCAAACTCATCAGTAGGTCTATGTTTGCTATTGCAAAAGAAAGAAGGGTGAGAGCGAGGGATGACGGGACGAGGGACAGAAGAGAGGTGACAGACAGAAGAAGAGAAGGGTGAGAGTAAGAGATGACGGGTCAAAGGATGAAAGAGAGATGATTAATGGAGGAGGAGAGTGAGGGATGGCGAACCGAGGAACGAAAGAGAGATGATGAACAAACGAGCAGAGAGTAATGGATGGAAGAAGAGAAGGGGATGAAGAAGAGAAAGGTGAGAGTGTGAAAGATGATGGGTCGAGGGACAAGGACGGACGAGGAGTGACTACGGCGGAAGAAAAAAATACCACTTTTAATATTAGATAGCAATAATACACATGTAGGTTTACTTAAGGTACACTGACCAGATGATTGCGTGCATTTGTGTGCCATGGTCATGGCCCCACATAATGTTTAATTTCTCTCCTTTATTTTGTACTTGTAAAATATTCATGCGTTGCAAACACATCTAACACTCTTCTTTTGCCACACAACTTTCTATATGCTTACAAAGCTATATTGATCTCCACCAACTTTTTTCGTTCCCTATTTCTAATAGTTTTTCATGACAACTTATTTGATTAGTTTTCTAGAGCACTTGTTTGGAGAAATTGTCTACAAAACTTGTTATGAAGTACTTTCAAAAAAAATGTTTCAACCAACTTATTTAAACAAGTTTTCTAGGGAACTTTGTTTCAATCAAAACTCCTTTGAAAGTTTTACTGTAAATCCATGCAGAACTTTACCCTATAAAATTACTCAAAAGAGTTTATAAAAGTTATGCGTATAAGTTATACCTTTTTCGCCCCGATAATTTGATGTCATAAGATTTGCCTAAGTCAAACTGCCCTACCAAGTTTAACTAATTTATAGAGAATAGTATAAACACCAATAGTTATATTATAAAAAAAACATATTCCATCATAAATCTAATAATAAAAATTTGGTATTATGATATTGATTTTTCTTTTAATATAAATGTGGTCAAATTTGTGGCTTGATTTAGAATAACAGTAAGACATCAAAATTTTTAGACAAAGAAAATTTAATAATAAAAAACTTATGGAAAAGAAACAAATTTCATAAAAATATAAAGTTATGGACGATCTGAAATTTAGCACCAGGAGTTTTCCTCTAGCGCGGGGTCTCAACTCCCAAAATATACAAAACGACTTTCTAAGGCTAGTTTTTGTGATTTGAAACTAGTATATATTTTCCATTCTTTTATTTAAGAGAAAAGGCAATTTTTTATGTAGTAATCTGGTAGAAAAGCAGGAGACGTCACGGAAAGGGTTTTGCTTGCTTTGACTACCTGAACTCTTGTAGTGAGATTTCAAAAAGAAACTCTTGTAGTGGTCAGAACTCAGTGGCGTTTGGGCACATTCACTTTACGCTCTATCCTGAATCCCTTTTCTTTTTAGAGTTAAATGCATCAGTTTCCCCTAAATTTGTTATACGGTGTCACTTAGGTTCACGGACTTTAAAAATACATTTATGAGTCTCTAAACTTGTTAAGTGGTGCACCGCATATCTTTAAACTTGTAAAATAGTGCATCGCAGATCCATTTGTGGACCATAAAGACTATTGCGGTGCACCGCTTAACAAATTTAGAGGCCTTGAAATACAATTTTTAAAGTTCATAGACCTAAGTGGCACCCCATGACAAGTTCATGAGCTGCTCATGGATTTAACTCTTCTTTTTATCCTCAACTCTTTGGTGGTATCTGGTTCATGGGATAACAAGACTGGGAAAGGAATATGATATCTATGCAGCTCTAGATCCTACTTTTGGTTGATTAGATTATGAATTTGTGATATAGGCAGGGTTCTGGTTCAGGATACCAAGGCCTCATATCATAACCCGCCAAAACTATGGCCACGTTCGGCTTATCCCATATTCGACTTGTTCGGCTTCTTTTTTCAGCCGAAACAATGTTTTTCTCTCGCAACCATTCAGAACAGTATTTCCAACCGCTGCTTGCGAAGACGGGTTCCACGCTGCGTGTGGAGGCAGAGGAGGAGGGCTCCGTGCTGCCGCAGGCGACGGTGGCGGACTGGTGGTGCAGTCCGCATTCCGCAACGCACCGGGTCGAGCAGTCGAGCTCAGCTCAGCACCCGGAACTCTCTCTATTTCCCGTAGACGAACCAAAAGGACAAAAGGTGACAGTCCCATTTCCCATTCCCACCCATCAACCATCATATACCAGAGCAGAGAGCGATAAGCCCAACCGCTTCCTTGCAAACGAAACGAAACGAAACAAAACAAAACAATGGCGACAGCGAGTGAGATCGCGGCGGTGGGCGTGATCGGCGCGGGGCAGATGGGCTCGGGCATCGCCCAGCTCGCCGCCGCCGCCGGCTGTGCCGTCCTTCTCCTCGACGCCGACCCCGCCGCCCTCTCCCGTGCCGTCGCCTCCATCTCCGCCTCCCTACGCCGTCTCGCCGCCAAGGGCCAGCTCTCCCAGGTAAGAGCGTTGACCTCCCAAAGCACCCTTCCCGAATTGGTGCCCGGTTGCTAGGGGGAAAAAAAAAGATGCTGCTTTCTGCTCTCTCCCTGACAAATTTTGGGGCTTGCGTGGTCTCCAGGCCGCGTGCGAAGACTCAATCAAGCGGATAAGGTGCGTCTCCACCGTGCAAGATCTCAGGGATGCGGATCTTGTGATCGAGGCCATCGTCGAGAACGAAGATGTCAAGAAGAAGCTGTTTGTGGAGCTGGATAAGATCACGAAGTCCTCGGCCATCCTTGCGTCCAACACTAGCTCCATCTCTATAACCCGCCTGGCTTCAGCTACCAAACGCCCCTCTCAGGTGATGACTGATGAGCAACCTCTGGCGTCTATCTGTACATGCAAAGAATTTGAATTCGTTCTTCAGGATTCTGAAGTGAGTTCCATGGTGCAGGTGATAGGCATGCGCTTCTTTAACCCTCCTCCGATAATGAAACTGATCGAGATTATCCGAGGAGCTGATACATCAGATGAGGTGTTTGCTGCAGTCAAATCTTTTTCTGAAAGGTAACTAAAACTTTGCTATGCCCTTTTCACCTGAATCAGTTTGCTCATAGCTAGCAGAGCAAAACTAGTGTGTAGTGAATTAGTCCAAAAGATATTGAGTTTGCTTCATTTCACTGTTCTGTTAAAGTTTAGCTCTGGAATTGACACCATGGGCCGTATTTACCCAGCCGAAACTTCTGGCAGTTGTAGTAGGTAACATAGTGGTTTTCCCTTCAACACAAATCTTTCATGGCCACATTATTGTCACTCCAACAACTTTACACTCAAAATGGATCTCACAGGTTTTAAAACAACACGTACCTGTCTCAGTCTCTCAGCACAGCACTTGCCTGTCTTGGATGTTGACAAGAGCTTCTGCTAGTCTGAACTCGCAACTCTGTCTAATCTGTAATGTCGATGTTACCAGACTTGTAACCCTCCAGATTGCCTGATGATTTTAAAACTTTGCAGACTCGGGAAGTCCGTTATATGCTCGCAAGATTACCCAGGATTCATTGTGAACCGCATCCTCATGCCGATGATCAATGAGGCTTTTTGGGCACTGTATACCGGAGTGGCAACCAAAGAGGACATTGACACAGGGATGAAGCTGGGCACGAATCACCCGATGGGTCCTCTGCAGCTTGCTGATTTCATTGGCTTGGATGTCTGCCTTTCAGTACTTCGGGTACTTCACAGTGGCCTGGGAGATAAT